ACTGTAAACTGAAGACAATACCGAGCTAATGGCTGCGAACTTCGAATCTATCTCATAAAACCACGTTCTATATTACATCGAACTAGGATTATTTTAGAAATCGATATGAGATTCAAAGTGTAAAAATGTCTAGTACTTTGAATGTTTTAGAAAATTATTCTAGATAAAGATGTATGGAACTACTAAAAATTACTTTTGATTCCTTTTCCTTATTCTGCAAATTCTTTGATTAGAATGTTAATGCTGCTGGAAGTATGAACATTTTCACAGGACAATGATATAAATGAAACTTTAAAACTTTTTTAAGTGTTACAATGATATTTCGTTGGCCTCCGTAGTGCCGAACGGGGATAGCATGATGTAGTCGCAAGGGAGCAATTGAATCAAATAGACGTATTGTACCGTACAGAATTACAAATATTATTATAAATATATTGTAAAATCATGTATGTAAGTAGTACTTAAGGCAATTGTTGTTAAATTTATAGAAATACTATTGTAAATTGTATATTTTCGTACGATTTTTTCAATGAAAAACAGTCAAACCATACATATACGTTAGTCATTAATCTCGGCACTATCTCCACTCTTATTCCTAATATCAATTAACCAAAAAGGTAATAAGAAATAATAAATAATAACAAATTAATTATTTCTAAAACTTCTTATAAGTTTTGAAAGAAGTTCTGGGATTAGTTCCAATTTTCGCCACCAAAGTGGTGGGGACGCCACTAAATGTCCCATAAATTCAAATGTTTCCGGCATTGTTCTTAATCCAAGATGGCGGAAAAGCGGTGGGGTCACAGAGCCTCCGCAGAAAGGCCCTGCACGTTTGTGGCGCCCCGCCAGTTGGTGGCGGAAATTGGAACTAATTACAGAACTTTGAAACGTGCAGGTTTTTCCGCCATCTTGGATAATTATTAATAATTAGTTTCATCTACCTTCCTTTATACAAAAACTTACAATGATCTTAAAACCAACTAAAACTTAGACGCTTTAGTGTTGATTTCCCTCAGCAGATGGCTTCTTTCTCGAGTCTACCTGATAATAAAATAAAGTACGCATAAATGTTTATACTTTCCACCGCCGCCATGACAGTAACATCGTGCTGCCACCTATAATCACTTGAGTTCTTGAATATATGCACGCCCATAAAAAATTTAAAAGGCTCTAACAGCGCAAACCTTGTATAGGACTTGCGCTCAACTTGACATCAACGTTGTAGCAAGAGTTTCTGGCAACTTGCTTAAATATGTAGACAACACTTGTACTTTATTACTGGCAACTTGCTCGAAACTTGCACACAACTGATTATCAGATTCTGATGGCAGCTTCACCTCACAAATGCAGTAGAACTGTGCAACTTACTTTATTACAGATTAACTCGATTACACTTCATCTTAAGTACTTAAATGATTATTTAATATTAAATCACAAAATTAAATGTATATATTAACAAATATTAATAATATATGCTAATGAAATATTAACTCTTCTGTATTGCTGGCGTTTATATTTCTCCTATTTATCGCTTATAATAAAAAATAAGTATATGTAAATATACTTATACTTTTTACAACAAAAAAAAAACGATCACCCCCACCACGAGAGTTTTCGGACCTGTATATACGACCGTGATAGTCAGGGACCCTAACAACGCTACATGATATGGTAAAGGGGTCCTAGAACCCCAAAAAATCTGGCCACGAAAAAGAATTAAAAAGCATTAGCTGACAGCTGACAGGTCTACTCCACTACTCGTTTACCTCGTCGTCTGTGTTTCTAGTCGATGAAGCTCAAGCACGCTACTCCCTCTAAAGATGTCGCGACAGTAGAATAAGTATTCACTGGTATCACTGGTATTCACTAACCAGATTGACCAGAATTTCTGTAATTCGCGTTATATAATGGTGGTCGGATAGGACCACATTTGTCGTTCCCGGTTTTGAATAGTATTGGTGATTACCTATAAACATGTCTTTCAGCAGAGTAATTGTAAGTAATTGCACGAATTGTAATTTATCACCGTTTTCTGTATGCGAACAATATACAAGTGAACAACATTGACTTTCTAGAAATAGAATACTTTCATGACAATCCACTTGCTGAATTGGTGGAATAAAAACATTGATATAACCGTTTCAAGAAAATTACGTAAAAGTAATAGATTTTGTTTCTTTTCTTCTAGGTCCGATCGTTCTCTTCCAACTCTGCTCTCCAGCAGATGGTCAAGGTACATTTTTGATGCATATATTTAACATAAAATTATATAACTTCAAAATAGTCTACTTTCATTTTCATTGAAAGAATTTTTTTTTAATGAAAGTTATAACACTTCCTCCAAACTATACTTCTTTATATACTTTCATTTGAATAAAAGTTATAATACTTCCTTATTTTATTAGCCTCCGATTCAAGTATTTGGAATGGAAGGACGGTATGCCATTGCACTTTACTCAGCAGCTTCTAAACAAAAATCGTTGGTTAATGTTGAAAAAGATCTGGTTAAATTCCAAGTATGTATGATATATTTTAATATTCATGTAATATTGTTAAACATGTATACTATAAATAGAAAATTATATTACACTAGAATACCATAAATAAGGATATGAAGCTGAATGAATTTGTGAGGAATCCATCAATAAAGCGAAAAGACAAAGTAGAGGCACTGAAGACTATTAGCAGCAAAATGAGTTTGTCCAAAGAAACTACCAATTTGTTGGCTTTGCTTGCAGAAAATGGCCGACTTGGAAAAGTAAACAACATAATTAATGCATTCAAATTGATAATGGCTGCCAGTAGAGGTGAAGTTGTTTGCGAAGTAATTACAGCAAAACCACTTGATGCTGATATGAAATCTAAACTTGAAGGTGCTTTAAACGGATTCTTGAACAAAGGTCAAACTATTATGCTTACTGCAAAAGTTGATCCTACTATTATTGGGGGTATGATTGTATCTGTGGGTGATAAATATGTAGATATGAGCGTTGCTAGTAAAATTAAAAAATACAGTGACATCATCAATACTGCAGCGTGATCATTTCTTATAATCTTCAGTAATATCAGAAAAGATAAAGTACTCATTTAGGTAACAACGACATGAGTAAAATGTACATCATTAAACAATAAATTATTCATAGTCCAATTAATTATGTTGACATGTGTCTTTCTCATTCCATTGAACCATGTTTATACATAAACCACCCTTATTTCTTTTTGTAAGAGTATATAATAAAAATGGAAAATAAAATCTGATATTTTATTTATTTTATTTAATAACATATAACGAGTTCAATCACAAGAATATTATGCATAAATACAGTTACATCTGTAGCAAATAAAAATTTTGATATTAATACTTGTACTTAAAAATAGAATAATTGTTTATTTTAGCGTCAATAGTTGATCAAATGACATTAAAAACGTATTTTTATTTGCCAGTATTTAAGCATTTACAAATTTCCAATTTCAGCATACTACTATAATCTACAATTAAATATCGAATTGTGAAGGTTCATGTTAACATTTATATCATGATTAAAGTATATAGTACCGCATTTTTCTAATTTTAACTAGTCAAAAAACTATCCAATTTTCACAAAAATTGCAATGCTCTAAGTGACAATGATTTTATAAACACAATATACTTATGCTACAAAATGTGTAAAAACACACGTATAATACTTTGTAATAATAGATCTACAAAAAAGATTTTCAGAATCAAATGTTCAAAAATCACAATTATGCTTCATGCAAATAAATTTGCACTATACAATAAAATACTATGTACATTAAAAGTTTTACACTAAAAATTAATAGTACAATACAATAAAATTGTCATACACAAATAGTAATACTCGCTGAATCTCGTAATTTTTTTTTTCATTTACACTAAAACAAGACTAGAAGGCATTTGAACAAGATTCAAATTTTGTGAATAAAATTACACGCATAAAAGAGCCTGTATTCTAATATAAAATTTGCTTGTGAATCGGATATACAAAAACAAAGTGAACTCACATCTTTATAGAACTTGCTATTCATAAGCTATGAATTAAAATTGAAATAGTTCGTGCACGAAATAGTTTACTCTTTATAGTATGTCATTTTTCACTAGGACCCAATCCTCCTCCTCAAGCACAGTCGATATAATTGATTCTTTTGATAAAACTGAAAGCATGAGAAATGGAGATAATGGAAAGATTCACTTAAATATTCATATGAATTTGTATAACAAAAAGACGTAATCATAATAAATAATCATACTCACTATGCAACTGAACTTCTAACTCCTGCCTATCCACATCTACTGTATGCGGTACTTTTCGCGTATCAACATAATTGCTGTTTAATAAAGGATCACTTAACTTGTCTTGCAAAAGCTTTTTCCTACATTCGCCTAAAGCTTCTAACTTTTTTATCTCTGTTGTATAACTGACGTCTTCATCACCGGATTCGGTTTCTGTATGATCGCTATGCTCGTTATACACATCTTGCTCATTATTTCTTTCTTCCGTTGAAGACTCATTGGAATGTATCTTACAATCGATATACGTAAGTGTATCAATACACTGAGAAATATTTGAATTACTAGTAGTAGTTTGACTAGTCGTCATATACTTTGATAAATCAAAGTCCAAAATATCAGCCAACAGTTTTTCTTTGTTTTCTACATCGTGCTGAATTGATTCATGGTTTCTTTCAGTCTTCAATATGAAATCGTCGTCAACGCTAAGCGTTAGTAACGAGGAATGCGTTGTCTTTGCATCGTTAGCATTTATTTTATCCTTATTGAAAGTAGACATGTCATCAACATCACACACAGACGAACAATTTTCATTTCCATTCATTACTCTATTACGCGATTTCTTAATTTTTCTTTCTGGAGTGAAGACGATATCTTCAAACCCTTGTTGACTAATCTTTTGAAATATCTGCCTTCTATCATTGTGTTTGTCCGGTTGTTCGACATTCATTGTTTTAGAAGCATCATTCTGCTCCGTCATATCGCTACTATCTGTTATTGAAGAAGTGTGCAAACTTATTGGTACTTCTACAGCTTCCTCTGCATGTACAATTGAAGCCGCATCAGTATCAGCTGTAACGACTGGTACAATACTAAAAAAAAAACAACAATATTTAAGTTCAAGTAATTACAACATATTTTTGTCGTCAAAAGGTAAATGAAATTTTTCATTTTTCCTTCTTACCCAACAGACTGAATGATATTGGTTGGATTAATTTTGTGAAAAGGAATGGCTGGTACTATCGCGCTTTCCTTCAATTTAGAAGTTAATTCTAGAATACCATTGGTCACTGGTTTACTGATTTCTGCAAATGATGATAATGGATCCAAAGTACTTTTCGCTTCTGAAAATTTACATATTTTCACAAAGATTGAAGGAAGAACCAAAGAACACATTCAATGCACAAAAATACCTACCTGCTGAGAACATATTAGTTTCAGGGTAATATGCTATGCGCATAATGTTCCTTTCTCCTTCCAGAACAAATATTTCATCTTTAGTGCAGGCAACATCAGTAACACGACGTAAGTCAGTTACAATAGATGTTATAGCAATAGTTTGAGGATTTACTACATATATAATATCATCGCTATATGTGATTAACAAATCATCACAAAATGGTAAAATTACACCAAATGTCGGTTCCCCACGATTTTTTTTAGAGCTCTCCGGTGCTGGGTTTAGAAGTTCTACTTCTGTGTGACCAGATCGAATAGCATCCTTAAACATGTATATTTCGCTAAAGCAATGCGAAAAACAGTTCCGAAATAGAAGAACTTTCAGATACAAACCTTAAAGATAAGTGTTTTCAGTACAGTTCCAGTTTTGTCAGCTTGCCATAAACGTAGCCCTGCCCTGCTTGCATAGATCATTAAATCTTGTACATAATTTTGTCTAGAACCGAACACAGCTCCTAGTTTCCCTAATCTGAAATGTACTAAAGCTATTAGAAACTTATCTTGTTAGAATGCTACGAATTGTGTACAGGAATTTTAATACTAACGTTTTGCGTTCTTTCTGACCAACTTGTGTCACTTTTCCATTCTCATTTCTGTTTACCAGTATTGTGCGTAATGTTGTTGAAACCAATAATAAACCTTGTTGATAACTCAACTGTACCACTGCATACTTCTCATTGAGCAACTCCGATGATTTTGATAAATGCTATTAAAATCTTTTATTAGAGAGGATATTATATAAATATGTAGTTAGTGATCGTCTTTTTCTGGTACATACCATGTAAAAGTCAATTTCAGTCAACACTACTAAACCATTCTTATCTCCGCTAAATAGTTTCATGCCATTTTTAGACCATTCAACTGTTGTGACTGCACTATTATGCAAACCACTAATACTATATCTTTCCACCTGCTTCTTTTGCTTGGGTTTCAGACTATCTGGCAATGAATCTGGGGGATTTTTGGGTATTTGGAATACAGTTACACCACCATGTTCATTACCTGCTGCAACCATGTAGTCCACGGTTGATATTACTTGAATACATGTGATCTTTGAGTTTACATTCTGAAAAAATAAATGTAATATCAACATAAAATAATAGGTCAATTGAAAAATCATACTGAAACATACCTCACATCTAAGTCTTTGCAAATCTTGTTTCTCTCTGTTAAACCAATATACCAACCCATAATTGGTTCCAATGGCTAAAAATTCAGGCACTGCATCGATACAGGTAAAGTTAATATTATGAGTAAAAAGTCCATTCTGAATTTTAGCAGGTATTTGTTGAAGAAGTATAGCAAGAGGAGCCCATTCTCTCAAAGGGCCTCCATCTTCACACATAGGTGTTGTCATCGCAAATTCTACGTTCATAAGATTATAATCAATATACTGGAGATGTTAAAACAAAAATTCATTTACTTTAATAATGCTTCTATTAGGTTGAAAATAAAATAGAACCTCGTTGGATTTTATTGAACTTCATTGAAATTATATTGAAATTTAAAATTTCATAATTAGATAACATCAAGTTATATAGTATTGTATAAGTATCAATGAGATACTATATGACATAGTATCCTAATCTTAACAGTGCATATACAGAAAAACTACTCAAATGTACATGTATATATATAACAAATATGTTACAAGTTCTAATCAATTACCTTCTTATCGATTCGTTGGGATTTGTGAAGGGTCGTGGTATATCAAATTACATTTTCTTTACCACTTTTCGTGAAATAATAACGTTTTAATAAACATTATAATAACAATTTCAACATCATTTGACACTTCAGCAAACTGTAACAACAATGCTTTATGGTTGAGATGTGCACGCCTTCGTTTACCACGAACTCATACGAACTACATCGTATATAGAGGAGCATAGAGGAGTCGCGATCATAACTTCAATGAATATTGTTGTATATACTTTCTGCACTTTATTTTATGGTTTATTTTACAAAATGGATTTAGCATATGCAAATTTAATACAGCTACAATATGCGGCTAATGCTGTATGTATGTATTAATGTCCCAAAAATTAAAGTAAAATATTCTCTCAGAAAAATAACAAAATATATGAGATAAATTTTAAAACTCATTTTGGCTTTTCTTTCACATTTGCATAAGTCAAAAATAGTGTCAATTACTCAAATAGAAATTGTTTTGCTTGTGGAATATACCCCAACCGCAAATTTTTTTCTACAGTAGAGTATGTACATTGCAATGGAGACGTGTGCATAAGTGCATTAAACGCAACCTACTATCACGGGTGCTTGTAATACGTTCAACTCTTGAAACATCATTATTTTTCAATGTTACGCTTTAAAATATAAAAAATAAACTTTAAAAAATCTTGACGAAGTATAACGGAACTGGTACTTCATTATTCCTTTTATTTGCAAAGGGTTTAAACACTTCTTCTTAGAGAATAGATGTTTTGAAAATTGCACCCTTAAACTCAATGTATCAACCAAAGAAAACAAATTTGAGGTCATGCATGTTAATTTCTGTAGCTAAATAAAATTTCAATAGTAGAAGCATAATTTATTTATTTACTCCATAAATTAAATGAATAAAATTCCATTTTTATTTGAATCTCCAATACCAAGGAAGATTGATAGCCGAGATCTGTAACACTGAATATAACTTCATAATATTCACTCCAAGTGAATCATAAAAAGCTTATTTTGAAAATAGGTATTGGAAACGCATCATATTAAATTGATTATTGAACCATAACATTTTCGATTCAAAATATTCCAAACTTTTTACTACATTCGTAATGAATTCCAATGTTACCGTTGTAACACTAAAATATTATCGAAGGTGGCAATTTAAAGTATAACTTGCCAAGTTCAATGTTTTGTGGAACTTAAAATTATATAGTATATACACATACAAAATATAAAGATTTCATACAATTTACTATTTTCCACGTGGCAGTAAAAATCAAACTTTTGCAAAGTTATAAATTAGATTTTAACAATTCACACAAAATAAGTGTTTTTACACGTACTAATCAAAAAGTGACAACAATCGAATTCACATTCGAAAATCCAGTATAAAAAGTTGTAGAAAATAATTGAAGCAAAGTTTATTTTTTGTATAAAATGATTAATCGACTTATCATGTACAAACAATATTGCTAATAATACGTTCCTTTCTTCATTGATAACAAGTCAAACAGTTGAATTTCACACAACATTAGGAAAATGTGGGACTTACTAACGGGATTTCACGAGACGTCATTATGAAATGAATTTAATTTAAACATTATACAGCCGATGACAAAAGTGTAATGCTTTCAATCTTACTGCCTGACTGGTTGTAAACTGTTATCCTTTAAAAAGTATTCTTATAATTATAATAATAGTATAATATTAATATTATATCAGACAGATTCACACAACGTTCGCAGTATGAAAAGTGATTTTTTTCTTTATATATTTTTTGCTTTTTCTTTTACGTTGTTTTCTGCTAATTGTTTACGCTCCCCGATGACTAATACATGTAGCGCAAATACTTGGTAATCGTTTCCGTTTAAAAGTGAAAAATGTGTAAAAACATGAACCTTCGATGCGACGACGGTACAGAGCATTATTTTGGGGAAGGGAATTTGCGTATTTGTTTTTTTTTCACTTGATTTCTCTCGTTAATATTATTAATTTTGGATTCGCTGATATACTCCTAATTCCTGTCAGTGGCTCGGAGCTTCTCTTCGACAGCTTCTTCGGAAGCCTCTGAAAGGTCTGTTGCTTGTATGTACTTTTGCACACCAACTAAGGACTTTTTCAAAGCGTCAAAAGAACTTGAGTACAACATCTTCTTCTTAACTTTAGCCGTGTCGGGACACCACGACATCAAGAACAATTTTTGTTTCTTGGAAGCCTGGAAATTAACAGTTACCATTTCAATCTTTATACTCATAGAGATTTCAAATAATTGCATCACTAAAGACACACTTAGAAGTATTACCTCGGATGTACCCTGACACTGATGAGTGTATTCGAAGTCGAAAAGGCCGTAGCGACATTCTCCGCTACCACCCTTTTGCAAATCTTCGAGGAAGGCGTCGTAAGCGGCATCACGAGGTCCGATCACTTCAACGTCGATTTGCTTCTCGTCCTTAATGTAAAAGATTACATACCGATGCTTTTTGTCTTTTTTAATCTCCTCGTACGTTGTCTTACAAACGTCGGCTACTGTTACTCCAGATGCCTAAACAGATCAACGAAACGGAACAAACGGTTATTAATAAAATTCACACGAGATTACGTAGGGACGAAAATTGCACAGGATATTAATGAAAGATTTCAATTAACACGCGATCGTCGCTAACGAAGACAAATCACGTGTAATACAGAGTCACAACGTTGCATAATAGCTCGATGAAACGTTTGTTTATAAAACTTAATTACAGCTGTTGAAATCGATATCGACGACGAGTGACTTATAACTCTCCGCAAGACTCACGAGACGTGTGTTTACAGAGACAGTATAAAGACATATTTTCCAACGTAAATTTCAATTGTAATATGTATTAACGGACACTACATCAGTCTATTATATACAGTTATAAGATGACTGCAGATTTTATGCATAAAATTCTTATTTTATTTGAAAATCTTTTAACGTTAATAGAGGAATTAAGTTCCTGTCTAATTTCGGTGTTTATAAAGTAATCTAAAAAAAAAAAATCTAAATTTTATAAAAATCCGCAGTCTAATTATAAGTAGTCAATGCAATCGATAATACATATAGTCCTGATGAACATACTGCATGTTTTGTACAGTTATAACATTCATGACTGCAAAACTTACGTTAATATAACTAACGTTAACGAGATTTTTACTTTATTTGGAACCTAATAGAATCGCTAACAGAATATATAAATTTTTGATTAATTCTTGGAACAGTAGATTGTAAAAATCTAATTTGCACAAACATTCTCGGTCCAGCGCGGAACATATAACAGCCTTTTTGCAAAGGACAAAAGGTATCGAACATTAGCCCCTACCCTACCATCCCCCACCCTGCTCATCGATAAGTGATCCCCCATTTTGTACAGTGGAAGCAAAGATTTACGAGGGCGTCAGACGATCTTCCTATATTGCATTTTGTATCGCTGCCGTTGACTGACGAGGAGGCCGTGCCAGTATCAACGCTATCAGTATTACGCTAACGTCGTGTTAGTCTGGCCGTTTAAGCTTATTTCGCGGGCAAACGTGGGGGACGTACCGAAATAAAGTCTTCCCACGCACGAATTCGATGCTAAAAGAGATCCGACCGTCCATTTCTAAAGTTATCCCTTGCCCGCGGGCACGTGCCACACGATACGGAGGTCCGTTCGACTCTGTGTTTCTTCCACTCTGGAAATTTGTGAAATACGACCATGACACGACGCGCCCGCCGCCAAGATTCTAAGGGAGGGAGATGAAGAAAGACAGAGCGAACGACCGAGAGGGGTTGAATGGGAGGGGAAGTAACGCCACAGATGCACGACACGCACAGAGTGAAAAGTTCGAAGTGGGATAGTTATTTTTGAACAGCTTTCGTCTAGGATCAACGCTTTCCAATTGAAAAAGTCTAGTTGATTTATTCAAAAAATAAAGAATACGGTTCGAATATTAACAAACACGACGAATGGATTTCTGATAAATTGCAGGGACTCGATGCTGTAAACAAGGAATTGCAAAATTGCTAAAATTAGTCGTTGAAAACGTAATTCGATATTTAAAGGAAGAGTGGAACTTTTGCCAGCCTGTGCGCCTCCGAATAACAGTTTATTTGTTGAAATGAACGATTTTGAAATTAAAGCATTAAAAATATAAATATTTAACAAACAAAAAATACAATTCAATTCAGGAGATAAAAAAATTAGTGTACGATCGATCAATTTACTCGTACTGGTGGAAGGGTAGCCCCAAGCACTGATTCTTTCTTATTCCTTAAATTGAAAAAGATAAATTCGATCCGGAGATGATAAATCAATAAACATTAAAATATTATTTAAAATAGTTAATGTCATCGAAAGAATAGAAACGACTGTTCATACTGATTGCTAATCGTATTTCACTATGAATACATTTCTACGTATGGTTGTAGCATACTGAACGTGTAAGGGTCGATCGGGGTGCAAAAGGGTCCGTCGAAAAGTGTAATGTGGTTGGAGGATAGCCAGTGGATGGAGGATGCAATTCCTCGGTCGATATTCTGGCACGACGGGGGATGCCGGTTAGGGCCAGACTTGGCTCCCTCTAGGGCGTTGTTGTAAACGTCTCTTGTGTGGGCACAAGGTCAAACGGAAGATGATTCACCGACGAGGAGCCATATAGTCGGTTGTTTGACGGACGAGTAAACTGTTCGTTTACATGTACGGTTTCATACACTATCGCTTGGCACTTGATAAAAAGAGTGCGACTGACGACGTTTAGTCTTTGTCATGCAAAGAGTGGAACACCTTCTGTATCTTGTCGCGGTTATCAAAATCCGCATTAAATTTATCGATAACCAATACAAATATATATCTTACGTCTCTTCCTATAACCTCCTTCATGATGTTCGATTACTTAAATTCTTTTTATTTTCCAATAGTAATAAAATATTTTCTGCCATATTGCATTGGAAAGCCTTCAAACGTCGTGGATAATTATTCACGGAGTTATGTGAATATTTACATTTTGTTCACGGATGAATAAGAAGAATATTGTTTAACCAATACCACTTACTTAAGAGAAAACGACATGCGACTATATGAATACGAAACAACGAACAAGAATGGCCATCATAATGTCGAGGATAATCAGCTTATTCACCACGTTTACGAAGGCGTCAGTGAACTTTGA